GACTGTGAAGATAGGTTGATTGAGAGCTTGCCACTGAGTACTAGCAGTAAACACTGGGGTAATTTCCTTCCCTGGAAATAGAACTTTCAGGGATGGTGTTAAGGTGCTGAAAGTGCTGAGTCATCAGTAATGGAATGTCATTATTGATGGCATTTACCAAAACTAACACTGGGACACCATGAGAAAAAAGTATATTTTTCTTAACCGCAAATGCTTAAGTCTGGAGCACGTGTCAGAAGACTGAAGTGCATTTCTCTTTCTCTTTTAAAGAAGTGTCACTACTTGCAGGAGCAATGACAGTGTGTATCTGCTGATATATACCCCCATTGACTTTCACTACAGTCGCCTGTACCCATAAAGAGTTGGAGAAAAGTTAGAAATAAGATGTACTTTTGAAGCACAATATTAAATCTATGATAGAATTCAGATTTGATTACACTGAAGCCCTATGTAGTCTTCCTTTGTGATCCTTCTTCAAAGGTCGTCTTGGTGATAATGCAAAGATCTGAATCACTGACTGAGGTTTGACTGAACCACTGTGTATTGAATCTCTTTTTGCTGCAGTGTAAGGGAATGCCGGGCTATAGTTCTAGCTAGCTTTTGATGCATTCAACTTGAAGTGAATCAAAGTTCAAACTGGCTTGCTAAACTTGAGACACCTTTCTAGAGAGGGATTCTAAAAGCTTGTTTCTCTAAGGTATACAGCAGTTTGGAAATTCTCTGCAAAGATCCTCTTTGCTTTTTCCTATCAATATTATTGATTAAGAAATTCCTTTGTCAAGCCTCCACAGATAGTCAGAAATAGAAAATCTGTATTACTTAATGGAAATTTTCTGTAGGGGTTGGTGGCATAAATAAAGAGAACCATATATTTGTTCAGATATGTCAGAGGCTGAACAGTGTCTGAATTCAGAAATGTATAAACCTCTCTTGAAGAACATGTAATTCTATAAATTTTCATTAATAAAATGTCTAAGCATGAAGAATAAACACAAAAACTGAAAAATTAGGTAGGTAAATGAGGAATATGGTTAACAATTTATAAACTACTAAATATATATGCATTTGCATATATGTATGTACATATACACATGTGTATATACACATATATGAGAATATTGCAAGAGTTTTCATGTGTACAGTTTTAAGTTTCCTTTTATATTAAAGCATGCTAGAAAAGTACACATATTAGAGTCAAAAAATAAATTTTACATACAGGGTGGAGCAAAAGTGGGTTTACAGTTGTTCATATGGAAAATAATATAATAACTAATAACTAATAATACAAGAATTAACTGTGTTTCATGGACTTACAACTGTAAACCTACTTAAGTCACGCCCTGTAGAGACTACCTGGGCTTAAATAGTCACTGTGCCTTTTACTAGCACAAAACACCAGCAGGTAACTAACATCTCTGAGACTCAATTTATTCATGTACACACTAGGCGAATAGTAGTATCTATTTCACAGTGGCATTGTGCAGATTAAATGTGGTAATATATGTAAATGCTAAGTAAGTTGTCTGGCACACAGAAAGCATTTGTAAATATAAGCTAAACTTCCACATGATATTATAACTAAAGTGAGATTGAGAAAAAAACATGACTTGAATGTAATGACCAAGAAACTTGTGACCCAGAGTAGTTGAATCAGCATCACCTGGAAACTTGTTAGAAATGTAAATTCATGGGCCCTACCCCAGGCCTACTGAATTGCAGTCTCTGGGATGGGGCAGAGGAGCTGTGTGTTAACAGACATTTTAGATGATTCTTATGTGTGCTAATGTGAAAATCATTGCCCCAGAAGTTAGGAAGTATACTTTTAAACATTGTATATAGTATCACTATGTTGCTAGTGAACGCTGTGTGAACTAATAAACACTGTTACTCAGCTATTGAACCCTTTCCTATAACCCGTACAGTGTGTTTTTACAAAGATACGGAGGACTGAGAGCTCTTCAGTACCAGTGATTCTCTGTCATACACGTTTGGCCTCAGAGTACAGGATACATACCAGGAATCACATAAATAATTTTAATTCATTAACTGGTTTTGCTAAATTTCTTCTAAATAACTGGGAAATCTACTTACTTCACCATGGTTAAAACCATATTAAAATATTTCAATTAAATATAGCTTTTATAGCTAAATTGAAGTATAAATTCCAGAGTATTTTGTGGATACATAAGAGAAATAGAAGTATGGTTTGGTATCAGAAATATCCTATTTTTTCCTTTGAGTTTTTAAAAAATTTTATTGATTATTTTAGAGAGAGAGGAAGGATGTTGGGGGCACGGAGAGAGAGAGAAACATCAATTTGTTGTTCCACTTTTTTATGCATTCATTGGTTGATTCTTGTATGTGCCCTGACTGGGGAGCGAACACAACTTTGGCGTATCAGGACAGCACTCTAACCAACTGAGCTACATAGCCAGGGCAAGTTTATCTTTTGTTGTTGTTTGTTGTTGTTGTTTATGTGTTTGGCTTTAAAGAACTGCGGTGGGAAGAAAAAGGAGTGGGAAAAAAACCCAAAAACAAAACACAGTGAATTTTGTTCCATTAACATATGTCACACTGTGGACTATCAAAGGAGAATTTGGTAAAATATGGCCAATATTGTACCGTGATTAGACACAGGGTATAGAGAACAATTATACAATAATTGTTTTATTTTCTCAGAAAATGCACATTAATATGCTAATTAAACTTCAGGCACAAGGATCCAGCTTGCTAACTTTGCCATTATCATGATCATGATCATCGTCAAGTACTGTTTAAGCATCTATGATATTGGCACATTATGCTAAGATGCTGCAATATATTAAAGTCATGCAATATATCTAGAGATGGGGAAATTTATAAGTTGTGAGTGTTAATTAGCATTTTTCCATTTTAAGGTCTTTTTTTAATACCGGAGAACAGCATGATGTTTGTGGAAGAACAAGGCCCAGGGCCATCATGGTCTGACAGATCTGAGTGACCATGGATAATGTCTACCATCACAGCACGGTGTTGTTATAAAACTCCGGCACAATGCCATTTACCTAAGATGTGCTCAGTGAAAGTTATTATTGTTGTTGCCATAGCTATTGCTGTTGTTGCTATTATATTATTATTGTTATGTAACTTAGAAGTTACATAAGCAGAAGAAAGATAACCCTCTCAATTTCATTGTCAGGATCGAGTAACTATATCAGCTTCCAGACACATAAAAGGAGGTTCGAATATTTTCTCTAGCTCCAATTTATAAACACTCCAAAAGTAGAGTAACTGTGTTTAGAAAAGCAAATCTCAAAGAAAATTGTCTTTTAGAAACCCAAAGAAGCAAGCACAGGATGCCAGTCATCACAAAATTGTATAAAATGTTTCTTTTTACAAATATTTTATACTTTGTCAGATACTTTGACTTAAGAGGGCAACATTTTCATTGCAAAGTGATCACAGCTTAATGATTCTTCCGTGAGAAAATTAGAAAAGAAGTGAGAAATATCTGACCTCTAGATTTAATTAAACTTTTTCAGTTGCTAATTCTTCTGCAAGTTGATTAATAAAGAGGATACGCTACCACACTTTCTAAAGTGTGAATATATGTACTCAGTCGTGTAATAATCATACAGATTATTATAACTTGCTAAAAGTATCTTACTCTATTATTAAAATAAATGTTGCATCTTGAAGAGAAATATTGAGTCTAACTCTACCTTAATTCTCCCAAAATAAGTGAACTGAGGATGTAAGAGCAAATGCTCTGGTTTCATCAGACAGAATAAGGTTTATTTCTAGCTCCATTATTTAAGCACTATGGAGCTCTGTGGAAGCTACTTAGCCTTCTTGAGAATCAGTCTCTTCATTTGTACAATGGAACTGATAACAGTTTGTACTTAAGGGGCTGGAGCAAAAGCTAAAGGGAGTAATTCTTACCTGTGTCTTATGCACAGTTAATGTTCAATAAATGTTAATATTCATTATACTCAAGTTACACACAAAATAAAAAACTAAGTCAAAGGACACACATTCCATTCTTACAGATTACCCTTTATTGGTACCTCTGCATCTTAATATTATCTTGTTCTATTCCCAGAAACTCAACAAATTAAAAAAAACAATAACAAAGCAACTCTTTTTCAGTAATATAATTAAAGAAATATGAAAGATAAGATTGTAGTAATTAATAAAGAATCAATGGTTAAAAATGCAAATATAGGACATTAACTGATTTCAAACACATTTTCCATTTTCATATAAAGATTTTATACCTTCTTTCCATAAACAGTATCACCAATAAATTAAAAATATCCTAATTCTTTCCTTTCTAATGTTTGGACCCATATAATATGTTCCTTACCCTAATTTTATTTTTCAGTTCTTGAGGCAGAAATATGTCTAAAACATCAAAATTTATCTTCTTAACATATTAAGGTGAATCATCCTATTTGAATAACACTTATTTTGGTTTATTTGGTTATATTTTCTTTTTTTAAAGAAAAAAATGAAGACAAATACTTTACACTTCAAAGAAGATCTTTTGTGAGCTTTGGAAAAACACGACCAGAGGACACCTTGTCCTTGGGAACATAGCAAAAGACAAAAACAGATCATCGCTAACAGAAGCTAAATTACACAGCGGAGTTGAGCTACTAAGATAAAATTGATTCCACCATGATAAAAATGGAACAGAACCAAGAGATTACAATAAGAATCAGGTGGATACTTAAGAGACCCCTTTAACAACGGGAGTGCATTCGAATCCTAGTGTCATCATTACAGGCTCATTTTTCTCATTCAGTTCCCATGATAAAGGCCTAAAAAGAAGCACTGGCATTTTAAATTGCTCAGTCTCCATAGCTGAATTTTTTTTCTTTTCTTTTTCTTCTCTTAAGTAAAAACATTTTCCCCTATTACTAGAAGAATGCTTTTGAGAGCAGCACTGTGAATGTCTAGAGAACAATAGTGAAGGCAGCACCAGAGGATTAGGGTACTGACAAGGGAAGAGAAATTACCTGTGGGCATTTGCTCCAAGGTCCCCACTCAGACATGACACATTCGTTGGGACACAGAAGAGAGCAGGGCTGGGTTTCTGGGGGCATTTCATCCTGGCGACAGAGGCTGTTATCCACTGCTCTACCTTCACTACCAGCAGTGTTCACACATCTGTAAGGCAAGTCATAATGTGACTTTATCACTTTAAATAGTAGAGAATAAATTTTAAATAGCTATGGTGTATCACAGTTACTTACTCCTCAAACATAAACATAAGACCAGAATAGAAACAAGGAAAAGAAAATTCTAGTTGGCATTTATTGAGTGATAACTCTGTGCAGAACCTTTCATTCAGCAGAACAGGAAATAACAGTGGGGACCAGAGACACTATCGTCCTTGAACAACTCTCAGTCTAAAGAAACCTCAAGTATATTTGCTCAGGTCTATCTAGAGTGAATTTTCTTTTTATTGAAGCAGATCTTGAAGGCCCTCCTTTTCTAAATGAATCCATCACTTTGTAATAGCTAGAGCCTTCATAGTTCCTGTGATTCTCTCAGACCTTTACTAGACTTCCATTTCATATCATATCATACCATATAAACCTCCCTAATCTTTGCCCAACACTTTTAAGGTCATGATGAAGTAAAGTAAAAATTAATTGAACATGTTTTCTTTTAGGTGTTTTCTGCAAATCAACAAGGAGTTTTGGTATCACCAACCAAAGGACAACGAGCAAGCATTTTCATGTAGCAGCTGGGCACATGGTATAGATGTACACATTATACGTGTTTGGACTACCCGGTGTTGGGTTTTGAGATAAGTGCTACTGAAGGCTAGATAAATGATCATGCCACTGGTTCCATCAAATAAAAACCAAAGCCTTACACCACTATATACCTTGTATACCCAGCAGAATGGCTTAAATAAAAACATGAAAAATATCAAGCGTTGGCAAGAAAGTGGAGGAATTATAATTCTTCTTACTTTGCTGGTTGGAGCACGAACTCCTTGATAAACTAGTTGGCAGTATGCACTAAAACTAAAGATATACAAACTGCGTATCCCAACAAACCCACTTCTATATTCATCTGCAAAAGAAATGTGGACAAATGTGCACTGCAAAAAATGACTGAAAATGTTCATGGCACCATTATGTGTAATCAACCAAACTAGAGTAAATGCTATAAAGTGGTGAGAATGCATGAACTACTGTTACATAAAACAGCATGGGTAAAGCTTACAAATATAATGTTGAACAAAAGAAATTAGGCACAAAAGAACATGTACTTCATAATTCCATTCATATAAAATTAAGAAATAGACAATAGTCATGTGTGGTCTCAGAAGTCATAATAGTGATCACCCTTGGAGAAATGGTTATTGAGTGGGAGGGGCCTAGGTGGGCCTGGCAGTATCTTGTTTCTTGGTCTCTGGACCATTACACAGGTGTGTTTACATTGTGAAAATTCACCAAACAGCAGCCCTACAATGTGGGCATTTATCTGCATTTGTATAGTACACACCAATTAGAAGATTATTTTAAAATTATTTTCTCGCAGCAATTTTTTCACTGATATGTCTCCTAAAGCAAGGGACATAAAGGAAAGAATAAACAAGTGGGACCTCATCAAAATAAGAAGCTTCTGCATGGCTAAAGAAAACATCAGCAAAATGAAAAGGGAGCCAACCGTATGAGAAAATATATTCACTAATGATACATCAGATAGAGGTCTGATCTCCAAGATATATAAAGAACTCACTCGACTCCACTCCAAGAAGACAAACGATCCAATCAAAAAATGGGCAAAGGACCTGGGCAGATGCTTTTCCAAGGAGGAGATACAGAGGGCCTAGAGGCATTTGAAAGGATGCTCAGCATCACTAGCCATCAGAGAAATGCAGATCAAAACCACCATGAGGTACCACCTCACACCGGTCAGAATGGCCATCATAAACAGATCCACAAACAACAGGTGCTGGCGAGGCTGTGGAGAAAAGGGAACACTAGTCCACTGTTGGTGGGAATGCAGACTGGTGCAGCCACTGTGGAAAGCAGTGTGGAATTTCCTCAGAAAGCTGAACATGGAACTGCCTTTTGATCCAGTGATTCCTCTGCTGGGACTATACTCTAAGAATCCCAAAACACCAATTCAAAAGAACCTATGCACCCCAATGTTCATAGCAGCACAATTTACAATAGCCAAGTGTTGGAAGCAACCTAAATGCCCATCAGTAGATGATTGGATCAAAAAACTATGGTACATTTACACAATGGAATACTATGCAGCAGAAAGAAAAAAAGAACTATGAAACTTAGTGACTGCATGGATGGAACTGGAGAGCATTATGCTAAGTGAAATAAGCCAGGGGGCGAAAGACAAATACCATATGATCTCACCTATAAGTGGAACCTAACCAACAATACAAAGATGCAAGGAAAATAAGACCAGCAACACTGAAAGGAAAAGAAACCAACAGAGACAAGAGGGAAGCAGGGAGGGTTGGGCAGGGGAAAAGGAAGGGAAGGGGAAAGTCAAGGAACATATAGCAAGGACTCATGGACAAAACCAAAGGGGAAGAGCTGAGGGAGGGAGGGAGGGAGGGGGCAGTGGAAAGTAGTGGGGGGAAGGCAGAAACAAATATATTTGAACAAATTAATTAATTAAAAAATTATTTTCTGAAAACTGTTTAATAAAGACTTGCTCTGTGTAAGCCTCTTTAGATAGGTGTTGGGATACAAAGTTAATATTTGTTAATAATAATTCATCTAGTAACTATTTTTGAGGGCTTACTATGCATCAGGCCCTTGTCTGGATGCTGGGGTACAGAACTGAAAAAATGATAGGCAAGATCTTTATTGTTACAAATATTTTCTTCCAGTGATAATGATCAGACTAAGGTGAAGATGACAAAGATGATGAGAGAAATAGTGCCGTTTGCTAACCTGGTTATTTCAGACCCAATACCACAGACAAAGAGCAAGCATTTTAATAGAGGTGTGAAGGACTTTTGGTACTTCCTAAATCACACTCTGCTGAAATGAATTATCCTATATGTTCAGAGTTTCCTTCCCATATATATTAAGAATTGTTTAAAAATTCTGGAAAATTGTAAAGTATATCACGTGACACAAAATAAAATAACCTTTATGAGGTGCTAGGTAATGGAAAAGTACTGTATAAAGGAGGCTAGGAGAGAATGGCAGACAGAGAGAAGACATAAGTATGCAGTGTCTTCCAAATAAGGAGGCATGGTATAGAGTTATCTATGGACTTTAATTTCTCATGTGGTAATAGTCAATAATGGAAGGAGAAACCACAAGATGGCTTATTTGTCTTTCCCTAGACATACTTAAGAGCTGGAAATTGCTCTTCTTCTTGACTGTGTACTCTGAGCTGATGTCCTCTTATTATTTCACTGAGAAAGAAGAGGTGAGACTTCTGGTCAATGGTGTCCAGTTGAACTTATGCATTAATCTTTGTTTACTCTCAAAATGCCATGAACACAATATTAAAAGAATTTGTTACACATGCACACACCAAGTGGGAGGGAATGGCATTCCCCTCCAAGACAAAGAACAAGGGAGAAAACAAAGGTAATAAAATGAAAATGAATGGGTTCCTGGTAACTACCTGAACACACCAAGAACTCTGAATACTAAGTGTGCAAGGCAAAACAAAGAAAGTAAACTCCATTTACACCACAGAACACATGAATTATTTGGGATTTGTGGCAGTAAGTACCTCTGAGAATCTGAATAAAAGTGAGGCTGAAACACTGGAGAATTAATTAAACCTATGTTTAAGTACCTAAGCACTCAGAACCCTCCCCCAATCTACACAGCTAGGAGATGGCCTCTCCCTGCTGCTGCTGCTAACTGAAGGTTTATTAGCTAGCAACCATATGGGAAAATATACTTGCCAATGACACCTTGGACAAAGGTTTGATTTCCAAAATATATAAAGAACTCATATGACTCCACTCCAGGAAGACACACAATCCAGTTAAAAAATGGGCAAAGGACCTGAACATTCACTTCTCCAGGGAGGACACACACAGGGCCCAGAGACATATGAAAGGATGCTCAGCATCACTAGCCATCAGAGAGATGCAAATTAAAACCACAATGCAATACAACTTCACACTGGTCAGAATGGCCATCATAAACAGATCAACAAACAATAAATGCTGGTGAGGTTGTGGAGAGAAGGAAACCCTAGCGCACTGTTGGTGGGAATGCAGCCTGGTGCAGCCACTGTGGAAAACAGTATGGAATTTCCTCAAAAAGCTAAAAATGGATTGCCATTTGACTTGGCAATTCCACTCCTGGGACTATACCCTAAGAATCCCAAGACACCAATTCAAAAGAACCTATGGACCTTAATGTTCATAGCAGCACAATTTACAATAGCCAAGTGTTGTAAGAAGCCTAAGTGCCCAACAGTAAATATGCATAAAAAAACTATTGTATGTTTACAAAATGGAATGCAACACAGCAGAAAGAAAGAAGGAGCTACTACCCTTGTGACAGCATGGATGGATCTGGAGAGCATTATGCTAAGTGAAATTAGCTAGGCAGTAAAAGAGAAATACCATATGATCTCACCTCTAAGTAGAGCCTAATCAACAAAGCAAACAAGTGAGCAGAATATAACCAGAATAATTGAAATAAAGAACAAACTGATAGTAATCAGAGGGGTCGGGGGGATAGGGGTAATGGGGGAAAGAATGGGAAGGGCCGTCAAGGAACATGTACAAAGGAGCCATAGACAAAGCTAAAGCGGGGAAGGATTGAGGGTGGGAAGAGGGGGCGGTTGGGGTGGGGGAAAGTGATGGCAGGAAAGTGGAGAAAACTATACTTGGACAGCAATAAAAAATGCAAAAAAAAATCAAAAAATAACTTCCAAATGTATTTATTTTTCTTGAGTTGATGACACTGAATATTTAATGATCTTACAAAGTAGATTTATAGTAACTTGGACACTTCCATCATAAAATATGTATAACACTGTTTAGAAATTTTTGCCAGTGTGATTTTATGTAATGACAAATTTAGAATATTTATATTTTTTAGTCACTTGCAGGTGTAAGGTACCTATGTAACATGCAACTCAGCTGATGTGAGGAATTCCTGAAATTAAAGGGATTTTATTTTGTTTATTTAAAAAAAGGGACATACGAAGGGCCTTCATACGGAAAACAAGGATTTAAGTTAAAGTTAACATACTGAGCATATCACCACAAATGCAGTGTCTTAAACAATTCACATTTATTACCTTATAATTCTGTAGCATAGAAATCCAATGTGGATCTCACTAGGCTAACTCAGTGCTTTGGCAGAGCTACATTCCTTTCTGGAGGCTCTAGAGGAGAATATATTTCTTTACCATTTTTAGATTAGTAAAAGGAATAATCTCCTTTACCTTGTTTTAACAGACTACATGATTTAAGTAGTGGCACCAGCCTTTTGGGCCAGTTTGTTATTCATCTTGTTATAACAAGACAAGAAGGCTCTTGCTTTGGGCGCTTATTTCCTAGAGTTCACTTTCTATAGATCTTCACATTCATTCAGGTCTCTCCTCAAATTTTCTGTTGATCAGCCTCACCTAAATATTATTCTCCATTTCTCTGACCCAATTTTATGTTTTTCTTGGCATTTCATAACAAAGACTTTCAAATATATTTATTTATGTGAATTTTTTTCTCTGTTACTATACTGTAAGGTCTTTGAGGACAGGAACTTTTTGTTCCCTTTTTTTTATCCCCATTTCCTGGAACAACGCCTGATAATAAAAGACAAATATTCAAAGATATATTTTAAATTAATAATGATAGTCATAGATGAACTATGAAGACATCCTCCAGTCTGTAGGTTTTAAGAAAGAGAACAGATACGCTGTTTCATTCATTAAAACAGCATGCTAGTAAAATCTATAATGGTTTGGAATCCAAGATGCCTGGAAAATCTTCACATTTAAATGTGATCATAAACATAAATCACATAACACAGTGAGTATGTGTGAGTCAGCTATGGATGTTATAACAAAATGCCACAGACTGGGTGGCCTAAACGACAGGAATTTATTTTTTCACAATTGTTGAAGTTAGAAGCCTGAGATCAAGGTATTGGCAGAATCAATTGTTTTTTTTTTTTCCCGAGGCTTTTCTTCTTGGCTTGTGGATATCCCTCTCCTCCCTGTTCTATGCAAGGTCCTTTTCTCTGGGTATATCTGTTGTGTTCTAACCTCCCCTTATTCTAAGAAACATGGCCACGCAGTCAAAATCTCCTCGAGTGTTAACAGCGATGGCCATGAGTCAGGGAGGGATGCCGGCCAGCTCCACGCAGGCGGCTTCCCCTCCAAAGTCATTTGCTAGAAATGGTAAGGATTGTGGCTTCATTGCAGAGGACATCCTGCTACACCCATGGCAGTTCAGGCCATGCGCTCCATGGATACTTAAAGTTGAGCAGAAGCCAGAGTAGACTGTGTGAAAACCAGAGTGTACTTGGATACACAACACTTGTTTTTACAGAAATGTGTTGGTTCCACTACCCCATTTCCCGAATGTCTCCATTTGCACACACCTGATTTCCCTAGATTGCGTTCCTCCTCCGCAGCGCAGGGACCTCAGCTCATTGTGGATTTTGCATGGAGACCAGGGTCCTACAGCCCAGGAATACTGATTACACTCGCTGTAACATGGGACTGCCTCATGTACCTGTGTAGAACAGGAACAGAAAAAAATTATGTTAAACTATCCAAGTTACAAAAAAATTGCCTTTTTGTAATGACTGCTGAACATAACCTGAGAATACCACTCTGGTCCAAACAACTAAATTACATCCCCAAAAAGCAAGATATATTTGGCTCCTCTGAAATTACTGACTTGTCCAAAAGAAACATACAGGGGAAATCAACTGAAATATGATGGTATGCCTTGGCAGAAGAGAACAAAGGACAGTCATTTCCTATCAACAAAAATAGGAATTCCATTATCATTTCATTTCCTCAAAGAGCTCACACAGCATTATTAGATGGTTCAGCTCTCAATTATAGGGTATACTGAATTCTCAGATGTACTTTAAGATGTCATTTGCAACAAATACCTGCAAGGAAAACTTACTCTTGAACGTAAGAGTTTTTTAGAATGCATAGGAAAAGTGGTATTTTTGCGACAAAAATTTCTATTTTTGCACCCAATGATCAATGCTAACAGGCAATCATTTAGCCTCCTGGGCATTGTGGCTTTATATGAATTTAGCTATTTGTAGGATGTTTTCAGAGTACAGCTAAAACATACAGATACACCACATTCAACAAAATACTGTCTATTAGAGGCTATGCATGATTACTGACTGAATGTTTACAATTTCATGGTAAATACAATCAATGAATGCCATAAATGAATTCTTAGGTTACTTCCTATGTATCTGTTTGTGATGACTTTTTTCTGAAATTGCATGCCAATGGGTAGTCGATTGAGTTTGTCTGCTTCACTGGGGTTGAATTTAAAATACATTAGTCCTCAATATAGAGCAGAGTGTTCTCCCTCAGTAAAAACAAAAACAAAAACAAAACAAAACAAAAAAACAAACTTCTCCATTACATGACATGTTACTCTAGACAACAAAGATGGCTCTAGTATAGCATGCTGATCAAGAGTGGTTCACCCCATTACCAAAAAGCTAATTAATGCCTTTCCTCATAAATAAGAATTTAAGTCCAGTTCCTTTCCACCCCTTGCCTTTCTAATTCCATAAAATTGTAAATGATGACTAGGCAATGCTATCCAAATAGAACCATTACTTCCAGGTTTATACTAAATGCAAGGGAAAGCACTATATAATATGATAACCAGAAAATAAGATTGGAGCACTCTCAGTATGCTAGATGGAAATCAAATGAGAAAAGATTATTTGCAAGAATGCATCTTTGGAATTACAAATAATGTTGGAAACTATTTTTAACTGTGGCATTCTATTTGGCTCTCATGTGGAGTGCACAAGGATAAGGGAAACCACAAAGTGAAAAATACGTGAATGCAAAATGAAAGGAGATGGAAAATAGAAGTGGAAATGGGTGTAGGGAAAGTAGGGAATTAAGTAATAAAAAAAATCACATTTCATGCTGTGAATGCTGACAGGAATGAAATGAAAGGGTCACAAGTAGTGTCTATATTAGAATAACTTGTAGGAAAGAAAAGTGCTCAAAAAACTCATAGGATACTACAGGTAAGAAAACAAATCTGTAAAAATGAAAAGATGACCCAAACCAAATAGACACTAGGAAACTGAACTCATAACAGCAGAGGGTTTAGCTGACTCATCGGCACCATGGAAATGAAGCTTTCACTAAATTCACAGGTTTGTTCTACAAACCCTTCAATATGTATCAGATAATTCAAAGAAAGGCTGTGGGTTTGCATATGAGATACAAGAAAGTCTGTCAAACTACTTTGCACAAACAGGGGATGGAAAAAAATTAATTAAAAACATAATTTTTGCCACACCTCATGATGCATCAGTCTGTAAATAAATGGATGGGATATCCTCCCTGAAATGGACCCATTTTTCTAAAGTTGTCAATACTAAGCAGAGCTTACGTTTCTGCTCTCCCTCCCATATAAAGCCCCAAGGTCAGACAGAAAACAAAAAACTGTTTAGTTGTATGTACTTCTTATATAAACACTTGAACACTTGGTGATATATTCATTTACTGTTTCTAATTTTTGTGTTCCAGAGATCTCCACTTGTGGCAGAATAGCTAATCTCAATGACAACCTACTGAAAGATAGGGAGCAATTCTGTGTAGGAAGATGTTGACCTGTCTTCTTGATAATGGCGTAAAAATAGCACCTCTTAAAGACGATTCTCCATTCGCATGAATTTACTTGATCCCTGCCCCCAGTATGCATCTGCTAAATTTGTAGCTAAATTATAATGTCAGAATGCACATGTACAGGGCTGGGACAGTGGTGGTGGTTACGGCCACACTACGGGTTGCTGGGGGAGCGAACATACTTGATAAAGTCATCACTTTGATTCCTCTATATGTCTCCTGTTCTCTCATACTAATTTATCCCTTTTTTTCACCTTAGCCTTACTACCATGTGTGTCTCCTTTTTCTTATGTAATATTATGTAATAAGCAATATGGAGAGAACATGGTCAGAGAAACACAATTTGCACTCTCCATACCTAAATACACTTCTGGTCAGTATATTTAACCAGAAGTCAGAACTGGACTATTAGTGCTTATTTATGAGACTACTTAAAACACAACAAATGTGTGAGTCTTAGGCAGGTAGAGAAGAACTTTCAGTGATGTCTGTATTTTACAAGACATGAAGAGGAGGATAGTGCTCAATAAATATTTGCTGAATTAAAACTAATTTTTTAATGTGTTCAGGTTGCTAAATGGCTCTTAGTTAATTATCTAGAGAAACAGGCCCACTAAGTGCAATGAGTAAGAGGTATTTTACAAAGCTCAAAGGACAATAAGAAGGAATAAACATGAAAACCTTTGCTTTCTATTATGGGGCTTTGGTGAAGGACTGCAATCACTATGTCATTAAAAGGCACTGCTTGATGAGTTTGTTATAGGAAAGACAGGACATCCCTTAACAGTTGTGAAAACTGTCTCCTTAGAGTCCTTGTCCTTCAGGCAAGGAATCTCACCTGGAGGATCAAAACCACCCTGAAGAGGCAAAAAGGCAGCAGGTATTCAAGAATAAAAATTAACTACCAAGATGCCCAATTTCTCTTCCTTTAAGTTGTCTGTATTTCATGTTGCTATTTAGTTGGTGCTCATTATAATTTATATTAGAAATGTGTTAAAACTTAGACTTTATCAGGGACCTGTATGGAAATGTTCTAAAAGAGAGAAATGAACCATGGGAAAGTTAAATGAAAATCATTTTTTAATGGCACAAATTAGGAAGAAAATAACAGAGTTTAATAAGGCCATCCACGCTAAAAAATGTCAGCTGAAAAGTCTAAATCCTCTGAGAGAGGTAACATTACATTCTCATAGTAATGAGTACTATTTATTACTTCTTCATTGGGGAGTTGTGTTTTTATAATTTTGCTAGTTCCGGAATCATACCACAAATTCATTGAGTCAATCTTTTAACATTTATTAAATAAGCCACTGCTTGTGGTCATTGATTAATTGAATTAAGTGCTGTTTTCTGATACCACTCTCCAATTACAGATAGACTCTCCTAAAAAACAAATATTGGAATCTAGTGGGCATCAGTGGGTGTCATTATTACATATCAGAGTTTTAGTGTTCAAGGGCTCAAATAAAACAAACAATTCAACAACAACCATAATAAAAACAAAGTCAAGTAGCCCTAATCAATACGGTTCAGTTGGCTGGATGTCATCCAGCAAAGTGAAACATTGTGAGTTTGATTCCTGGTCAGGGCGCATGCCTGGGATGGAGGTTCCAGGCACATACAAGAGGCAGTGTATCGATGTTTCTTTTCCTCTCTTCCTCCTTCCCTTCCCCCCTCTCTGAAAATAAATAAATACCATCTTAAAAAACTTAAATAAATAACAATTCATAATCTCAAATTTTCTATAGCAATAACCCTTTGCTCCAATGAAGCAGTCTATTAAGACCAAGGTAGAAAGCTTCAGGACTGAGACCTACATGCTGGTCATTGTGGCTACTTTGTCCACCTTGAATATTGGCTCAGAGGCCCATCTGGGACTATAGTCAGAGGCTGTGTCATTGGAATGTGAAAGGAACTGGTCTCCAGGAGTGGTAAGATCAACAAAACATTAAGGATTCCCTTCTCCTTCAAATGTTATCTGCTCTAACACCAAAGGTGTTCACCTGAGATGTACAAACTTGCCTCTAATCAGGTCTGGAGTCCTCATTCCTTATCCAGGCTTCCTCTTATTCTTCCTCCAGGCCTCACGCCTTCCCTTTTGAAGGATCTTCTAGGCTATACTTGCCCTCAGTTTACCAAACTTACCCCATTTCTTATTCAACCAACAACTAAGTTTTATTCTCTTCTATTAGGACCTGTCTGATTGAATGAAAAATATCACATTTACACAATTACACATTAAACTTTCACTTTCATTTAATTAATTATACATTTAAACCTGTTTTTTCACAGTGTAACATATACAATTGAACCCATGTGCTCTGTAATGTGCCCATCAACAGTCCCTGGTCACCCCAATCATGTGTAAAAGGTTACAGCTTACACAAGACATTCTATACCTTGGGTCTCAATTATCACAATCATTTCAGTTAGACCAGACTGGTATGAGCTCTACTTACAGATAAAAATAACTAACATTTGAAGAAGTTAAGTTAGTCACTCATGGCTGGTGCTCAAAATAAGACTGAGAATCCCAATCTGGTGAGGCTAACTGTGCACAGGCTGCCTGTTTAGCTTGTTCAGGCACATCACCATGCTCTGAGAGCCAATAGCTTTACAGTGATAAAGATAATGTTAATATTTATAAGTTCCTGGAAAAGGAAAATCAAGAACAGAATTTTCAAAAATATCTTTGGAGTGGATGATGCCTATACCTCTAATATAGCAGAAACATTGCATAAGCAATGTATTCCTTTTCTTTGGATACAGAGTTTCCTTTCACAATTTCAAAAACCCAGTGTCTTTGGAAACTACATTCCATGTTTAAACAAAGAATAGGCCTATGTATTTTAGGTGGTTGCAATCTTTTGTGTGGAGATG